TAGGACCCTACTGTTAGATGGATCAGAAAGTACTTTATTTTGAAGTTATGATAAGAGATTTTTTTGTAACACTTATCATTTAAAATATAAGTTGTTCCCATTTTCCTCAGGGCTGGAGAATGCAGGTCCACACTTGGTCATATCAAGAGTTGCTTCTTAACAGGACAGGTTTTACCTTAAAGTGGACACATTATGGGTGCATCTACACAGCAGGGCTTAACTCAAAATAAGCTATGCAAATTGAGCTACGACATTTGCATAGCTTATTTCGAAATTGGGAGCGTCTATACAGCACTTATTTTGAAAGAGCATTCTTCCTCCGACTTCCCTTACTCCTTGTACAATGAGGGTTACAGTAGCTGGAGTAAGAAGTCCTCCAGCCTGACAGTATTTTGCCATTCTTTCAAAATAACTGCCTGCTGTAGTTATTTCAAAATAATGCTAGTTATTTTGAAATAGTGTTGCTGTATAGACATACCCTGTTTGCCCTATAGTAGTATCTAGAGGGTCTAGCTTAGATCTAGGCTCCCCTGGAGCATCTAGAGCAGTGTTTCTTAAACTTTTTAAGACCGAGGAACACCAAATAATTTTTTTTTAAATGAACACTGAGGATTTTTTGTTGAGCAAAAAGAAAAAAAGGGGGGATGGTGAAAAGTTATTGATCCAAAAAAAAAAAAAGGAAAAAAAAAAAAGGGGGGGGGGGGGGGGGGAGTTATTGAGCAAAAAAAAGTCACCTGCCCCTTTAAGGGTGGCCATTTTGAACTCTGTTGGTCTCTGCGGCAAACCTCCAACTGTCTCGTGGCACACCGGTGTGCCTCGGAACACAGTTTAAGAAACACTGGTCTAGAGTTTCTAGCTTATATCCACGCACATCTGTGCAGTGCCCAGCAAAGGGGGGGGGGGGGGGGGGAGTTATTGAGCAAAAAAAAGTCACCTGCCCCTTTAAGGGTGGCCATTTTGAACTCTGTTGGTCTCTGCGGCAAACCTCCAACTGTCTCGTGGCACACCGGTGTGCCTCGGAACACAGTTTAAGAAACACTGGTCTAGAGTTTCTAGCTTATATCCACGCACATCTGTGCAGTGCCCAGCACAAATATATAGTAAGGAGAATGGGAAACTGGTACGGGGAAGAGATGGAACTTCCCCAAGGTCACATAGTAGTGACTCAGTGGCAGTGCTAGGAATAAATGCCAGCCTTCAGCGTAAAGAGGATTAGAGTAGAATAGTTCCCAGGTCTCCCAGCCCCCATTCTTATGCCCTGTATATTGGCCACCTTACTATTGGCGAAGTGGCATCGGACAACTCTGGGGTGAGGTGCTTGGAGATTGCCTAGCATCATGTGGATGTGACAGCAGCCTAGACAGTGATGATGACCGTAAGTGAAAACCCTGTCATTAGAGAACACAGGACTGTTTTCAATACTTCCTTTAATATCGGTTCAAGCAATTGCGAAAACATTGTTTCATTTTAAACATTAAACATTTTCTGTAAATATTTAAACAGGAACATTTTCTTCTGATTGTTCAACCAGTAAAAGTAACTTGCCAAGAGGTCTTTTAAGGAAAGCAGCAATGTTCATGTTAGCGTACTTTATTTTTAATAGGCTGGTGAGAGAAGTGCCCTTTGGATAAATTTATGCATAGTCAAGGATTTAAACCATATGTTGCTGTTGTCTTTTATCTTGACTGCAGTAGTGCAAGGAGGCTGCAGTTTAGATCAGGGCCTCATAGTGCTAGGTAGGTTCTGTATTAATTTTTAGTAAGACACAATCTCCTTATTCTAAATAGTGCGAAGGAAGTTCAGAGCATAAGGGGAAAGGCAGGCAGAAAGAAGGCCAATTCTTCTGGCCAATTTTCATGGTTCGGTGTCTGGATAGCTCAGTCAAGATAGTCTCCATTGTGCTACAAGCTGTATAAATACATGGCATGAAACAATGCTTGGCTTGCATAGCTGACAATCTAGATCAAGCATGAGAGGGGGAAACTGAGGTACAGAGACCAGAAGTGAACATGCTTAAGGTCACACGGAACAGTGATTTGTTCAGGAGCAGAAGCTATGTCACTTGACTCCCAGTCAAGCACCCCAACTGCTAACTTGTGTTTCCTCCTAGAGCAAGTTAATTGTATTTAACAGAATACAAGGCAAAATATATATATATATATAATCTCCCTCCTTAGGTGGTAGTAGAGGAGGACAGTGCTCTCTGCCTTCATAATACCTGCTCAGAAGAATAAGGGCTACGCAGGTATTAGTGATTTGAGATGCTGACATCCTCTGATGTGAGGCCAGGTCTACACTAATGGAGAGATTTTTTTTAAGATACACAATTCCAGCTACGAGAATTGCATACCTGGAGCTGACATACCTTAAACCAAATTTCTGGGATGGCCCCACTGTCGGGGGTTAGTGGGAGAAACTATTCTGTCGATTTTCCCTTACTCCTTTTGACTTTGAGGAGTACTGGGGTTGGCAGGTGTGTGCCCTCAGTGTTTGATTTAGCAGGTCCTAACTAGACCCGCTAAATAGAACCCCGGAAGATCAATCTCTGGAGTGTTCATCTTCCCAGAAATATAGATGAGGCCTGAGTATCATGTTAAATTTAGGACTTGCTGAGTATTCATCTTCATTGCATGATTATTTTAGGCTCTTCTCAAGTTAGCCAAGGTCAGAGAGAGTGTTGATGTTGCAAAACACCGGAACAATGCTAATTGTTGCATTAGCAGCACAAAATACCTGAATCCCCACTGCATTATGAGCAGTTCTTGAACACCAACCAACACCATCAAGGAGGCAGCTAGCTTAAGTTAATTCAGGCTGGAGGTTTTTGAGTGTGGATGGGAGTCTGGTTAAGGGCAGCACTCACATTATAGTGCCTTACCCGCCAGAGCACCTTGTCTGTCTCATGCATAGTCATTGTATTCAGTTCACCGCTGGGCTAGATTTTCAAAGGCACCGAGCGCAAGAGTTGTATGGAGGATGGAAATCTTATGTCATGACAGATTTTGAGATCTCCAAACATTAGAAAATTCTCTGCAGAAGAAAATTTTTGGAAAAAAAAAAGTGAAGTTTTGGATTGAAAGAAAAGTTGTTCGGGCAAAACTGAAATGTTTACATTTTGAGTTTTCTGTTTATATAGTGTAAACCAAAATAAAAAAAATAATAAAAGGCCACTTCAAAATCAAAAGTTGAACTGTTTTGTTCTGACAGTGCTGAACTGGGATATTAGAAAGTTTTCCCATTTCCCTAAATGTCACTTTTTTTTCTGACAAAATTGACATGATTTCAGTGTTTCAATTTTGACCTCGGGAAAATGGCTACATCAAAGTTTTTCTTACCAGTTCTTAGTGCACAACACTCCCACTGTTTTGGGTATGGATGGAATTTTGCATTGTTAAGTGATGAATCTGTCGAAAATTACACTCATATGCTATTTCTCTCATTTTCTTTTTAGCCAATTTAAATATTCTTATGATATTAAGTTTGGGGGGGGGGGAATATGTAAATTCAGTACAAATATAAAACCTGATTATTTCTCTCACTAATACACTTAATGAATGGATAAAGTCCGGAAGGCATGTGGAGAGAGGAGTCATTTAAGGATAAATATTTAAATAATTCCATATATAAATGAATGGCAAACACCCTTTCCCTTTTATCTCTTGCCTTTTTGATGACTTAAATGCTTCTCTTAGGATAATGAATACTGTTCAATGGATACATTATGCAGCAGTTTTTAAAAGGTTTGTTCAAGTACCTGCTCCTCCTTGTGTGCTTTTTGAGATATCTTCCTACCTTTCCTGGTCAAAGTTGACTTTCCGATATACAAAATTCATGTCAGTCAAAGAATGTTGATGATGTTTTGCTCCTCCCCATGCTGCGGATGCAGTTAAACTGGTATAAAAGTGCTTTATATTTACTGCCAAATTAAGTCTTACCCCTCTTGAAACCTATGACAAAACTCCCTTTGATTTCAAAAGACAAAGGTCAGGACCATGGAGAGTTCCTAACGCTGGGACTACAACCCTTGCCTGGTTTCTCCAATCAGTTCTATTTCTAATGCTAACTCTGGGTCATCAGTGGCCCAACCCCGACTTTATTCTGAGGCAAGGAAATAACCCTAATTCTAGACAGTGCTTGTGGGGATCAGTATCAGATGAAGAACCCAACTTTAAAACCTAAAATTTCTGCACAGGTGAGTCTTTCAATCAGCACAGATGCTTACTAACTGCTGCTGATGGCCTTCACATATAGAGTTTGCACATCATGTTTAGACCCCCATATTTCATAATCATACCTGTGTACTCTGTTAAGAAGTATCCATAAAATTGTAACTCTCTCAGACGCACTATATTGCCATTCATGGTCACAGAGAATTTGGAAGCATTACAATTACTGTCCAGAAATATCTATTCTGTACTAATGTCATGAGTCATATCTGTGTTGGCATAACTCATTGGTTACCTGCACTTCTCCCAGTCCTCTCCCCATATAAGCAGGTCTTCAGACCGCACTGAATTCAGTTGCTTGAGGAAAGATTGGGGTGTATCTTTCAAGACAAGTGAATGAATCCAGATGGTGGGGCAAATTGAACCTGCTATAAATGGGTGTAGCTCCAAGGAAGTCAAAGAGATTTGTGAGATTATACATACTTGAGGAATTGATCTGATATTTCCCCAATATTTTAAAGTTTCTAGGCTAGCTCAGGAATTGGTATTGTTAGATACATTTGCTAAGATTTGCCATGGTATCCTCCTTCTCAAAGTATGAGGGTGATTTGTAGATTCTAAGATAACATACCACTGAGTAACTATCTGGCACTAGATTCAGTTTTAGTGGCAACTGCTGTATTAAACAAAATATTGATGAGGTTTATTGTTTGTTCTTTTTTCCTGAAGACCTACCAAGGAGCATTAAAGGGAATGATTATTGTCAATATACTGTCCATAGGCAATTGCAAAATGTCCTCTCTCTGGCCACATTTAACTGGCTGAAAGATGTAACTGTTTGCGCAGTGGCAGTATTGTAGCCAATGAGGTTAATCCAAGGCATGATTATTGCTAACTGAAATCTTAAACTTGCCTGGCACTGCTTAGGACAGTATACAGGATGACCCGTATACAGATTTATTCAAAAATACCTGTTTCATGCTGATAATCTATTTGTCTTTCTGGAAAAAAATGAATTGGGTAATCTGTACTTGAGAGCCAGTGAGGAAAGCTAAGCTTCCAAGGTGGTAAGTAAGGGGAAAATAAATTGCTCTCCTCTCCCCCAAAACCTCTTGCTTACCATAACTTGCTATCAATGTAAGTCAGGCTTCCTGCACTGAAAAATTCACCCGCGGCAAATTTACTTCCAAAGTGTTGGCAAAAACTGGTCCATTCTCATAGGTGAAATTGTTCCCCCTTTTTAGCATCATGGTAACTTATATGAAGAATGCATATGCAAGACATGTTATCCCCATTTTGCAGAAGGGGAAAGTGAGAGATAGGGAGATCACATGGATCACGCAAGTTTCCTGACTCCTCGTCCTTTCATCTGCATGACACTCACATTATATAAGCACAGCAGAACTAAGTGTACTGTCTTTTTCCAAAGCGCCTGAGATATTGTGTTGAGCGCTGCCTAAATGCTAGGGTGGATAGCATTTGTCATTGACTACTGTCAGATCGGATACAGGATCCTTTGTCCTGGTTCTCTGTGGGATCATTGACACAGCCCTCTGCAATCACCTCAGGCCTTCAAGGTGACCTCAGTTCATTCAGTTGAAATAGAGAAAAAACATCCATGTCTACTAAATTCCTCTGTCCTGGGGAACTTTCCCTTCATAATTTTATTACCTCCAGTGTAATTTGTCACATTTTTTTTAACCATGCAGAAAGAGAGCACTTTAATCCATGCCCTTTGCTGTTGCCTGATTGGATACTTCTGGATCTAAATGGGGTGTGTGGTTGACTGGCCACTTCATAACTCTGAGGTATTGACTGCCATTTGCACCACTATTTACATTTTTCTCACCAAAAATGAGTGGCTACTCTCCACAAAGAATAAATTCTGAGCGTTGCAACCAGCTGTGGAAACAAATGTCCTACACAACCAGAATGAGTCAGACAGACAACACTGCCTAGCAAGAATTAGAGTCTAAGGCTACGTCTAGACTTCATTGCTTTTTCGTGATACCAGAAATATCCTGAAAAGCAACGCCACATCCAAGGAACACATCTGCTTTTTCAAAAAAAAAAATGCAAAAGAACAGACACACTCTTTTGCCATCCCTGTAGACCTCATTCTGTGAGAAATAAGGGATGGCATGAAATAGCACTTTTTCTCGAAATTTGGTGCCATGTAGATGCACCAAATTTCTCAAAAGCCTTTTTCAAAATTAAATTGAAAAAAGATACACAATTTGCGTAGAGCAAATTACATAACTTTTTCTGATTTAAGAGTGCAGTCTAGCCTTGGAACAGATTTGGGTTCTGAACATGGGCAAGTCATTTAACCTCAGTTCTCCAGTCTCTTGTAATTCTTATCAGTCTGGTGAGACTTAACTGTGGTTTGCAAAGTGCTTGAAGAAAAAGTATGAAGGAGGATTATTATCTGGTGGTGTGAAAATATGTAATGAACAGGCAAGACTAGCCCCCTAGTTCAAACTAGGGAAGCTAATGAGGGCGACCAAAATTGCTAATGAAGGATGGGATTTAATAGCACATTCCCGGCCAATTGCCATTTTGGAAACTGACTAGCCCGAAGTTACTGCCCACGTCTATACGCGGCAGAGAAGTGGGATTCCGAGATAAACCCCTTCGTTCGAATTAACTGTTACTCCTCGTGGAATGAGGTTTAACAGTTAATTCAAACTAAGGGGTTTATCTCGGAATCCCGCTTCTCTGCCACGTATAAACGTGGGCAGTTACTTTGGGCTAGTCAGTTTCCAAAATGACAACCGGCTGGGCATATGCTAATCAAGCATGGGATATTTAAATCCTGTGCTTCATTAGTAATTTTGGTCGCCCTCATTAGCCTCCCTAGTTCGAACTAGGGGGCTAGTGTAGACATACCCTAAGAGAATTAGCAACCAGAAGTCCTGCCTGAAGGCAGGAAAAATGTATGTGTTGGGGGGAGGAGAAGGAAAGGGAAGGGGTGTGTGTGTGTGTGTGTGTGTGTGTGTGTGTGTGTAACCTTCAGAACTCTGTTAATCTTTAGAATAGTGCCATTTTTGTATGATTCTACGACATGACCTTCAAAGTTTCTGAAGCTGGGCACCACTTCAGGCGGTGCATTTCCTTTTTATCAGAATTAATGACTGTCTACAAGAAGCGATACAATCTTACTCGATCACAGAAGATACAGTGACACTGTGGAATGGAAAATTGACAGCTCTGCTGTGCCCATTGACTTGCATTCATGCCTCCTGCTGCGTTGCAGAGGGTGGTGAGCGTTCTCAATGGAATACTCTGAATTGGTGCTTATCGTACGGGGGGAGAGCAACTGCAAACATTTGATCCTTTTGGTAAATAAAGAACACAATGGTCTGGCTTCAATGGTATGATTATTTAGAAAACAAAAATAAAGTTCTCCTAAGCAAAAGAAGAGTGGGGGGAGGGGAAGGGGAAGCGTCACTGAAATCCTTACCCCATTTGGGGCTAGTTCTCTGCTAAGCCTGCATGTCCAGGGCCGGCCCACAACATTTTGGCACCTGAGACGGGGAGCTCAAATGATGCCCTCATGCCCCCTTGCTTGGGCCAAAACTTTGAAAGATCTCAATTCTGCCTTCTTCCTGTTCTACTCCTCTCATGGTCCTGCTCTGCTACCTACATATGCACCAGCAACAAACACAATTTCTACACTCTGGGTCCTAGTGGCCCCCCCCCGGCCACAGTCTGGCACCTGAGGCAGCTGCCTCAGTTTGCCCCATGGTAAGGCCAGCCCTGTGCATGTCATTAAAATAACGTTAAAATGAAAGGGTAGGACTCTATTATATTGCATATGGCTGTTCTCCTTTCCTCCTATTTGGCACCTGGTTTTATAGTAATTTGTTCCCATGCAACTGTCAGTGTAAAATATTGTCATTCTATTTATTATTGATGTGTATTGGTGGTGTTACACATGTACTGAAAGAGGCTCCAACTGATATCAGGTTCTTTTATACTAGGCAACGTACAGATGCTGTAGTCCCAAAGAACCTGTAGCCTGCCCGGTTAAGACCAATCAAGGGTAAAAGAGGAAAGAGAGAGGAAATGACTTGCTTAAGATCAAATGGCAGATGAATGGAAAAACCTGAATAGAACCTAGGTCACTCCACTCATGGTCTAGGGCCCAACCCATGGACCATGCTACCACAGGCCTATTTTGATAGACTGGGCCTAGTAAACTAAGGAGGAATGGTCTGAATTTTATCATGTCAACTGAAAGAAGTACTTGGTTAATAAGTGTCGTGTAAGTAAATATATTGGACTAAGGTCTTTCTGTCTTCTAGAGAATTGGAAATATATTTTTTTTTTACTTCAGTTTTTTTTCATTAAAAAGCTATAGAGGATCAACAGACATGACCTGGAGGAACTCTGTACAGACACGTCTCTCAGCATGGTCTCTCATATATAATTTCGCCCCTCCCCCCCACATTCAAGCTTGGAACCACAAGAGGCTAAGTTCATCACAGAAGTGGGCTACAAATTGGCCAATGTTGAAATCCATATGCCAGTTGATAAGACACGAACAAACATTTGCAACAACATTCAAGTTGAAAGAATCACAGAAATGCAGAGCTAGAAAGGAACTTGAAAGGTCAACTAGTCAAGACCTTGTGCTGAGACCGGACTACATATATCTAAAACATCCCTGACAGGTGTTTGTTTAACCTGTTCTTAAAACCGTCAAAGGATGGAGATTCCACAACTTCTTTTGGAAGCCAATTCTGAAGCTTAAATATCTTTATAATTAGAAAGTTTTCCTTAACATCTAATGTAGATTGCCTTTGTTGAAGATTAAACCAATTCTTATCCTACCTGGGGAAAAAGTAATCATAGTCCTCTTCACAACAGCCCTGAACATATTTGAAGACTATTATCAGGTCCCCATCAGTTTTCTTTTGTAAAGACTAAGCATGCCCAGTCTTTTTTAACCTTTCCTCATAGGTCAGGTTTTCTAAACCGGTTACCATTTTTGTTGCTCTTCTCTGGAGTGGGAATAGACAACAGGCGATGGATCACTTAAGGATTATCTGTTCTGATCATTCCCTCTGAAGCATCTGGTATTGGAAGACAGGATTCTAAGCAAGTTGGACCATCGGTCTGACCCAGTTTGGCTGCTCCTATACTCTTTTGACTCTCTTTCTCCTCAATTTGTCCATGTCTTTCCTGAAGTGTGACATCCAGAACTGCTCACAGTACTCCAGCTAATGCTTCACCAATCCCATGTAGACAACAACAGTTACCTTCTGTCTCTTATGTGCAACTGCATCACATAGAATCATAGGACTGGAAGGGACCTCGAGAGGTCATCGAGTCCAGCCCCCGCCCTCAAGGCAGGACCAAGCTCCGTCTACACCATCCCTGACAGATGTCTATCTAACCTGTTCTTAAATATCTCCAGAGAGGGAGATTCCACCACCTCCCTTGGCAATTTATTCCAATATTTGACCACCCTGACAGTTAGGAATTTTTTACCAATGTCCAATCTAAACCTCCCCTGCTGCACTTTAAGCCCATTACTCCTTGTCCTGTCCTCAGAAACGAAGAGGAACAAATTTTCTCCTTCCTCCTTGTGACTCCCTTTTAGATATTTGAAAACCGCTATCATGTCCCCCCTTAATCTTCTTTTTTCCAAACTAAACAAGCCCAGTTCATGAAGCCTGGCTTCATAGGTCATGTTCTCTAAACCTTTAATCATTCTTGTCGCTCTTCTCTGTACCCTTTCCAATTTCTCCACATCTTTCTTGAAATGTGGCGCCCAGAACTGGACATAGTACTCCAGCTGAGGCCTAACTAGTGCAGAGTAGAGCGGCAGAATGACTTCACGAGTTTTGCTTACCACACAGCTGTGGATACAACCTAGAATCATATTTGCTTTTTTTTGCAACAGCATCACACTGTTGACTCATATTCAACTTGTGGTCCACTATGACCCCTAGATCCCTTTCCGCCATGC